GCCCCCCTTCTTCCCACTGCCTCTGTCAGTCATGATTTCAATCACTTCAATTTTTCCGTACTGTTCAAAATAGTCTCGTAGTGATGCTCTTCAGTACCTTCTTTAATGCCACCCACGAAGGTCTTCTTCACGGTTAAGTGGGACCCGGTCTTTGAGACTCCTCTCTCGAGACAGCTCTCTTTGATTCCACAACTCTTCCACCCACCTTGCGTGGCCTTGCGTTCCTGGCTGCATCCACCTCTTCCACAGTGGTGTAAGTGACAAACCCAAAGCCCCTGGAGCGCTTGGTGTTTGGATCTCTCATTACCACACAGTCCGTGAGCGTTCCCCATTGCTCAGAATGGCTTCTCAGAGTCTCATCTGTTGTTTCAAAGCTCAGCCCTCCGATGAAGAGCTTCCGCAGCTGTTCGGGCTCCTTAGGAGACTCTGACTTAGATATGACGGCAGTCGGAAGAGAGACTAAAGATGTTTCCTCCGTGGCGTCCACGAGCAAAAAGGAGTGAGCTACCGAACGTACTCCTATACTTACACTCTTATGTTTCATCATTTTGAGACTGTCTCATTGAATTATTTATTCAACAAATACTTACTTAGTGCCCGTAACAGGCCAGGCCTTGTTTCAAGTTCTTGGGTTCCAGGAGTGAATAAAACAAATAAAATAATCTGCCCTTGTGGAGATTATGGCATTAGTGGTGGAATAAAAAGAAACAAGGTATATATGTAAAGCTTATTGACTGCTGACAGAAAAAAGGGAAATATAAAATGATGAACAATTTTTAAATTTTAGGTAAGGTGTCCAGGGCAGGTTCTCATTATGACCAACTGGAAGAAGGAGAGGGTAGTATGCAGATATTTGGGGAAGAGAGTTCTAGGAAGAGGAAGTAGGACCTGCAGGGTCCTGAGGCAACAATGTGCTTAGAGTCTTTGAGGAATGGCATAAAGATCTGCATGGCTGGAACAGGGACACAGGAAGCCAGTTTATGTAGAGCTTGTGGGCTAATGTAATAACTTTGACTTTTACCCACAGTGAAAGGGAGAAACTATTGGAAGATTTTAAGTAGAGGAATAACTTAGTATTTTTTGTTGTTCATAGTTTTTAGTGCTTGTGGCACTTGGGATTGAAACCAGGGTTGCTCTATGACTGAGCTACATTCCCCACTTTTTTTACTTATTTATTTTTTTTATACCAGGGGTGGAACTCAGGACCTTGCACTTGCGAGACACAGGTGGTGCCACTGAACTAAATCCCTGGCTCCCTTTTATATTTTTTTGAGACAAGGCCTAAATAAAATGCCCAGATGGGAGTTCAACTTGTAAAATTCCTGCCTTAGTCTCCCTGAGTACTGGGAACAACTTTGGTTTTAATTGCTTCTGACAATAAATTTAGAAGATATGCAAGAGATGAGGAGACCATTTTGGAAGCTTTTTGAAATGATCCAGGGTACAGACTATGCACAAGGGTTGTGGCAAAGGGAATGGGATGTAAGAGGAATCCAAATCTCTGATATGTTTCAAAGGTCAAGCTGACAATATTGTTAATAGACCCCAGTAAAGTTTGAGAAAGAAAAGTCAAGAATTATTCTAGGATTAATGGAGTGATTCTTTGATTGATTCAAAAATCTGCAGAGGAAACTGAACTGGGTGGGAATATTAGTAATTTCACTTTTGGGGGGTGCAACTTGAGAAGAGTCCTTGGATTCCTGGCTTAGGAGAGAGAAAGTGAAGGGAAGAGGGAAAGAGAAAGAAGAAAAATACTTCGTGGAGTGAAACAAAACATTTTTTGCCCAGCTTGGTTGGGCCTTACCTTCATTTCTAGTTACTGAGATTTTTACTTGTGCCTGGCCCCACCAAAATGTACTCTCCTGGCCGCAATCACCAAAATATTATTGGGTAGCTTGTTTTTAAAAAGTGGCTCATCAACTTAATGTTACCAGATTCTGGAGAGCTCACCTCTCCTTATGGAACTGAATTCCAGGTGTATTTTTTTGGCCTCAAACAAAGAATTGAACAAAACGAGCAAAAAACAGTGGGAAAGTTTATTCAAGAAACCAAAGTGAAGAGTGGGAGAGAAAATGGTTCTGTAGAGCAAGCTTAAACCAAGTAAATAGAAAAAGGGGATGAGAGCAAAGCAAAAGCACACGCTGTATCTGGCAAACACAGTGTGGGCTACCCTAAAAAGTTATGACAGCTAGTGACTCCATTTTGGACCAGCTGTGAATACATAATGGTCTTTGCTTTTCTCACATTGGCATTATTGGTTTATGGCCATATTCCTATCATATTTACATCACAGGAAAATGATCACTCTGACAAGGAGATTCTGTAGCTTAAATAGTAGTTGGAACTACTGGGTATATATTCTTTTTTTTGGGTACCAGGGATCGAACTCAGGACCTTGTGCTTCCGAGGCAGGCACCAGAACCACTGAGCCAAATCCCCGGCCTGGGTATATATTCTAATATCCTTGGAACCAGTTGCAACTTTCCCCTTTGACTTCCTACAAACTTCTCTAAATCATTGTTTAAAAATATTTAAATTCATTCTTGATGCACTTTTGTGCATCAAAGAACAATTATAATGTTAAATTGGCTCTTTTTTTTACTATGAAACAGCTGAGTCCAAACAATTAATTATATGATCAAATAGCTGTCCTAATTAGGTTATTTGTACAGAAATAACCAGAACAGTAATGGTCTATTTACTTTGAGCTAATTAAGTTTGGAACTTGACTTGGGCTGAATAATTTGTTAAAAGTATTTTTAACATGATAGAATATATTAGTTTTTTTTAAAAACCAAGATAATTTTGGAAGCATTTCTATTATGAAAGCATATAAATGTTACAGAAAAAGTCTTGGATAAAATAGAAGGTTCATATATTAAAACTATTTTTCCCTATATACTTATCAAAGTTATTTAACCCTCTTTCATTATTTTTCCATATCAGACTTTAAGACTGAAAAGTATCTGAGATTTTATTGTCATTGAAAAAAGATCATAGTTTTAAATCCAACTGGAACACAAAAAAAGCCATTGCATATTGGGTTTCAGGAGAATTGGATTGGAACCTTTGTTCCTTTAGAGACAAATTCCCTTTGGGCTTATCTCATAACTTCTCCTCACTTCTTTCAGTCCTAAGGCAGAGATGATGATCTCTGCCTTATGGAACTCACAGGACTGAATTGCAGATGCAGTGAGATCACATATATGAAATAATTTTGCAAACTAAGTGCTAACAGCAATGGGATGTATTATTACAATGAAAAGACAGTAAATTTAGTTTAAAGATCTAATTAGCTTTTACTTGGATTTCTAGAAGTGGGTAATGCCTCATTTTATAAGGCAAAATGTACGTTGCAATGAGCTGAGCAGAGGTTGTCTTTATAGGTAGAACTGGGTTGATTTTCCTTTGCGAGCCTTTTTTATTTTATGAGAAATGAAAAGAAGATTGTCGCTTCTTTGTAGGGTGAAAGGAGAGGGAACTTCCTTGTCATTCCAGCTCAGGTAAACTAGGCTCTTTTTTCTTGGTTGCTGTGAATTTCCTGCTTTTTTTTTTTTTAAAAAACTAGCTCATTTCAAGGTTCAGTTTGATTGCAAGGCAATTAACATGAGTGACCCTGCCTTAGTCTGTTTGTGCTGTTATAACAAAATAGCACAGACTGGGTGATTTATGAAGAGCAGAAGTATGCTTCTCACAGTCTTGGAGCTGGGAAGGCCAAGATGGAGGTTCTAGCACTAGTATCTGGTGAGAGCTGCTCCCTTCTCCCAAGAGGACGCAATGCTGCACCCTCACATGGACAAAGAGCATAAGGGAAAGAAGCCAAATGCCGGGTGAAGCTTCTTTTATAAAGGTCTTAAATCCACGGTTTAGATGTGGCATGTCCACCCAAAGGCTCACATATTCAAAGGTGGGGCTTTTAGAAGGTGACTAAATAGTGGGGGTGTTATACTTAGCAGTGGATTAATCCAGTGATGAGTTCATGGTTGATTGTGCTGTTAGGGGGTGGGGCTCGCTGGAGGTGGGTCACTGGGGTAGGACCTAGAAGAGTGTATTCTTGCCCCAGCTCCTCCCTTCTCTCTCTACTGCCTGACTGCCATGTGTTGATTAGCTTGCTTCCACCATCCCCTTCCACCTTGTCCTTTCTGCCTGGGAAACAGCCACACATGGTCTGAACCCACTGGAAACTGTGCCAGATAAACCTCTCATCCTTAAGTTGTGGGTGTCAAGTATTTTTTCCTGGTGACAGGAAAGTGACTAATATACTAGAACTCTGGTGACCTGATCACCTCTTAATGGCCCCTTTCCTTAGTAGCACTATCACATCATTGGTGAGCAAATTTCAACCATGAATTTTTTTACCTTAAATTCTTTTATTGGTACATTTTAGGTATACACTATGTTTACATTTATCATTGGGTGCTTGTACCTGTACATCATGTATCTTGGTTCTTATTTTCTCCCCATTCCCTGTGCGCCCTTCACCCCCTCTGCCCTTCCCTATTTACATAGACTTCATTTCCATTTTTTTTCTTTTCTCATAATTTTTCCTTTCCCCTTCCCCTCCCATCACCCCTACTCCTTTGTACCTTCTCTTCCTGTTTCAAATTATCAATTATTCATTTTAATCATTTTCATCCTTATTTACTCTTTCAATTTCTCACACTAGAGAAACCAGTATTTACACATGTGTGTTCTATTTATTTCACTTAAGAGTATGGCCGCAATATGCATCCATTTAGCTATAAATGTCTGTAGTTTCTCATTCTTTATGGCTGAGTAGTACTCCATTTTATAAAGAAACCACATCTTCTTTATCCAGTTTCCAGTTGATGGGCATTTGGGCTGTTTCCAAGCTTTAGCTATTACAAACTGTGCTGCTATAAACATGGGTACACATATATCACTGTGGTAAGATTCTTTTAATTCTTTTGGGAAGATCCCCAGCAGAGAAATAGCTGGGTCAAATGGGACCTCTAGCCCTAGTTCTTTGAGGTATCGCCATACTGATTTCCTCAGTGTCAACCATGAATTTTGAAGGGCACTTGAAAGTTCAAATCACAGAAGACTCATTTCAGGCTTGGTCTGGTCTGCTGAGGCCTAGTGTGGGACTGGAGTCCAAAACAATGGCCTTCCATCCACTTTTATCATCACTATTGGTTCTTAATCATATGTAGGATGACAAAGTACCTTAGATGTATTTTAAACCTGGTGTTGTTCTCATACGGAGCAAGAACGGCCTAAGGATCTTCCTTCTTCTTGGTAGGAGCCTCACATCTCTCTTTGTTTTGGTTGCTGGTCAGGAGTACGTGGATGTCAACCTGCAGAGATTTCCCATGGTGCTGGGAACCATGTAAAGCTGTACTGAACTGGACTTAAAATATCAGAAAACTCCTAATACACTAAAATAGCAAGAGACTGTTACAAGCTACATGAATCACAATGTTCAAAAATACCATCTGCGGATGGAAGCAGCTGCCTTTATTAGCAGCCATGTAGACTCCACATTGTCTCTGGACCCTCCTCCTCATCCCACCCCTCCACTGTGCATCACTGGGAGTGTGGGATGTGCACTTAGGGGAAACAACCTCTCTCCCAGTTGAAGGAATGCATGTAATGGGAGACATTTCAGGATTTCTTTATATATATAAACAATTGAGACTCACCAAGACAAAGAATGCTCCTTCTCTAATGAGGGCTTACTCTGCTAAAATCTCTGCAAAGCTGGAAACCATGTTTTCTCCCCAATTAGTGACCTTTATTTGGGTTTTACAGTTGTATCCTCCAGAATTGTGCTATTTGGCTGCACTGATGCTTTGTATTTCTCTGGAAGCTCATCAAGGGTCAAGGGTACTTTGACATCTTCTGTGCGGCCTCCACTATGTGGAACTGTGTGGCCTCCACTGTGAACACAAAGCAGATCAGAGGAAAGAAATTCTTCAGCTTCTTACAGGATCTCTGCATGATACTTTCTAACTGGTCCTATTTGTTACTCTCCAAGTGAGTTAGCAAAACCTTCTGGTTGATTTTCTGCTGTAAAATGATCAAAACCTGAACAACTTTGATGTGGACACTTAAGCATCCTTGTTTTATGCATACTTAATCTTTCCTGACATGAGACAAATATGAATGCTTCGTCTAGAATTCAGTATGACCTTAAACTAGCTTTTAAAAATCTTAAGCTCTTAAGATACCTAATCACATATATCTTAACACAGATTTTCAGTTCAGGGTTGTGAGACCCTAATTGTATTTTGCTGCAGAAAGATCCTGTGTGTAATAATTCCATTGTTTTTACAAATGACAGATTTACCTAAAAAAGCAGTGGGAAAATTTAACTGAAATCATAAAAAGTCTTTGTTCTGAAGTGCTATCTTACTGTTTTTCTTAATTCAAAGTGATTGCTAGATGTTATTTGATTATTTCTTGTTAAAATATTAATTGGGAGGCCAGCAAGCTGAGGTGGCTCCCAAACCCTAGGTTCCTATATAAGCATACTGAAACCCAACTCAGGATAAACGGTTTCTAGGCCAATCAGAAACAACCAACTGACCTTTAACTAGGGACTTTCCTTAGAATGAGCACAACAAAGCTGTGGCTTCGCTCTAACATATCAAATATTTTCTTTACCTTGCTTTCATTTTTACCTTAAAAAAACTGTAACCTTTCCCTGTTTCCTTCTTGGAGCCCAGAACCACTAATGGTCTGGTGTGGCCTGATTTTTGGATTGTTGGTTGCTCAAACAAACTCTTCAATATTTTAATGTGCTTCTGATTCTCTTTGAATACTCTCATGACAACACACAAATATAATGGGCTCATTAAGAAAGGGAATAGTATAGCATTTTATGATATAGGTTTAGCTATTGTTCTAAAAGTAAAACCTACAAGTTAAAAGAGGAAAAGTTTATTTTTGGCTTACAGAAAGTTTAGAATAGTTTAATATAGAAGTTTCAGTCCATAGTTGGCTGCGTGGCATGGCAGAGGAGAAACAGTTCATGGTGTGGCAGGCAGAAGGAAAAATACAGCAGCAATAGCAAGCCTGCCTTTCCCTTTTTATTCCAATCAGGCTAAAAGCCTATTGGTTGGTGCCGCTCACACTCGTGGTGAGTCTTGTGTATTTAGTAAATCCATCCAGCCACACCCAGATCCATGCTAATCCACAGTGGACTAATCCAGTTATCAGATACCCACGATCCAGTATCACACACCCCTGTTCCCACCACCCCCTCAAAGCTCCACCTATGAGTGTATGAGGCTTTGGGGAGCATCTAGATATAAAGCATGACATTGGTGAAGCTAGAAAGCTGAACACTAACTTCTGTGACATTTGGGCTAAAATGAGCAGAACTTGATTGATAACTCACAGGTTCTCTATTTTTAAAAATCTCCTTTTCATTTTAGGATTAAGCATTAAAATACAAATCTGTACCTCTGAAGGACATCCTGCTTCAGACAGCTCTTTCAGTTTTCCCAGGGGAGCTTCCTCTACTAGGGCTCACCTGGTGCCTTCCTTCTGTTCTGTCACAATGGTTTCTCTCTCCTCTGCCTGCCTGTTAGTCTTGCCAAAGCGTAGGTGATAGTGGCTCACTCCCTGGCTGTAGGAAGCTCAGAATACAGTCTTTGCTTTTCTCATTTGATTAGTCTTTCTTTATTTATGCAAGGGTTTTGAGGATGTCACAATGACCCACTGGCTTGATTTTTTAAATATACTCTCCCAATATAACAGAATATAAGTGTTATCTATTATAAATCTATTTACCTACAAATGAGAAACTAATCAACTAGTGTATATTTTATTTTATTTTTTTTAACTAGTGTACATTTTAATAGGACAAGTGGCTAAATGAAGCTTATTAAAAAGCCTTTTTAGGCCAAGGATTTAGCTCAGTGGTTCTAGCACCTGCCTCGCAAGTGCAAGGTCCCGAGTTCAATCCCCGGTACAAAAAAAAAAAAGCCTTTTTACTATGGACTATTTAATTTTTAAAGTATTCTGCAAATATAGAGTATTAAATCTTAAGATGTTTAATTTTTTCCAGCTTTATTGAGCTATAATTGACAAATAAAAATTGTATGTATGTAGTGTACAATGTGATGTTTTGATATATGGATACTTCATGAAATGATTATCACAATCATGATAATTAACCTATCACCTCACACAATTATTTTTGTATGTTCTTAGAACATTTAAGATATATTGTCTTAGCAATTTTCAACTATATCATGCATTAACTGCAGTGACTAGGCTGTACAATAATTCTCAAGAATTTGTTTATACCGTCTAATTGAAATTCGGAACATTTAAGTTTTAAGTCAGTCACCAAATATTCAAATAAAACACTTTGTATCAAAGTTACTGAGGTCAGGGTAGATCTGAAAATAATTGTCTTTGTTTACACTGGAAGGAGAAGCTTGGCCAATGAAGAGGGCTGCTGAGGGGGCAAGTTGGTTACCAGATTAAGTGTGTGATCACCTTGAAGGATTCTGCAGAGGGCCAGTGAGCTTTGAGCTTGGATGGAGCATAAATTCTTACAAAATGGGAGGTGCTCCTTCTCAAGAGAAAACGGAATGCTATTTTGCACAAAACCATTATGTCAGTTTGAGGGAGGATGCTGAACACTCAGTAAAGTTTTTCTAGCCATTCATTCATCATTCACTCATTTAGTTATTCATTCACTCATTCAACAAATATCCATGGGATATCTGATACCTACTGAGCACTGTGAGAACTTCGGTGGGTTAAAGAAGTGAGTTAGAATCAATTTAACCTCAAACTTTACACTTGAGCAAGGAAGACAACACACATGTTGATAACATATAGATAAGACTGATTCAAAGTGCCTAAGACAATGAGTGTAATTGGGAAGCCTAGTTCCTTTGTCAGCAAGGCCAATGTACCCTAGCATCATTGGTAGCTGGAAGATTGTAGCTGTCAGGTCTCCCACATTCTGCTTTCTCTGACACACAGATATAAATGCATTATAGTTTCTCAGACCAGAACTGCTTAGAGCTGACTTAACAGAGGTTTTTTTACATTTTTTCAATTATTCATATAGTTGAGACCCATCACAATCAGTTTCACTCAACCAATTAAATTGTTCTGCTTCTATGATCTTCATTATACTGTAATACTTGTTTACTTTCAAACATAAATTTGTTCAACATAGCATCTTCAAGGCATTTCTTTTTTCAGGAGTTAATGGCGTCAAAAAGAATAGAATCTATACTTGGTTGGAATTAAGAAAATAATAAGTTATGCAATGTTTTTATATGTTCAAGCATAACTTTTAACCTAAAATCAGAATTTTAGAGATAGGAAAAATGTAAAAGTACCTAACTAATCTCCCTGAATATATTTGAAGATACTGAAAAAGTGGCTTGTTCAAGTCTACCACTAAAGGGGACAGTCAGACCTCTAAGCCAACCTCTGGATTCCTTGCTGCATTTTTTCTTCCAGTGCTGGGAATACAACCTAGGGCCTTGGGCAAGCCAGACAAGCCCTCTGTTACTGAGCTACCTCCTCGTCCTCCCAGTTTTATTACCACAAGGAAATACTGGCCTTGTGTCATTGTATTAAGTAATTCATAATGTTGTCCTGTATTTAGATTTTTCTTAATTGTGTATCTGAATTCTGCTTTGCAACAGAATTATGACTACCAAATTAGCCATCACCATTTTGTACTGAATGTTAGTGATCATTTCTTTATGGAACGTTCTTCTATTTTGCTTTTGCATCTACTGGTAATTCATTTTGGTAAGTTATTGAGTCATTTTCATTTTTAATTGTTCTGCAGCACCTCTTCATTTTATACCTTTAACAACTAATTAAATTATGTCCAATGAAATTTTACAGAGGTAAGATTGGATACTATCTCATGAACACAAAACGTGTGTACTCTGGTAAAACAATTTCTGGTTGGATAATATGAAGAGATGTTGGGCAACTCAGAGTGTTTCATTATGGGATAAACTGGAAATGACGGCAAATTATCCATCACCTCTACCTGTCATTAATCCATCTATCTTAGTGGTTCTCCCAGGAGCTGTCCTCTCCACTCCCTCCTGGAAGATAGTTTTTGCAATGTCCAAGACATTTTCTTGTCACACTGGGAGATGTTCCTGGTATCTAGTGGGTAGAGGCCAAGGATGCTTCTAAACACTCTACAAGGCACAGGACAGCTCCACTAACAAAGGAATTTCTGGACTCAAACAGCAATAGTTAGCAATAAGGCCAAGCCTTAGAATCAACCTATCTCTCTATCTATCTATCATCTATCTATTTCTATCTTTATATAAAATTCATCATATAGTAAATTAAGTATAGGAAAAGGAATAATGATAAACCAATGAGACAATACTTGGAAAATGTATCATTTTGTCAGGAAATGTAAATTGAATGTCTTAAGTTTTCTTTGGAGAGCTACTCTGTTTTAATGGTTAGTCCATTACATGAGGCTGCAAAGAGAGGACCTGGGAACATTTTCAGTGTATCTTGGGACATTTATCTCAAGAACTGATTAGGAATGTATACTGTTATGAAGTGCATTGGTTATTCTTTTTTGTTTGCTTTGTTTTGTTTTGTTTTCCAGGACAGGGGATTGAACACATGATTTTGCTCTTGGCAGGCAGGCCTGGCACCACTCAGCTAAATCCCCGGCCCATTGGTTCTTCTTTTTTTTTTTCTTTTTATGTTTTTAATATATTAAAAAGTAACAGTGCAATTGAGATTAGTATTTAAAAAGGATCCAAATTTTTCAAGGAATGAATTTTATAAACAATTTTGTAATGAAAGGGAAATAGCATCTTGCTTGATACATGAAAAGTTTTAAGATTTTAAAATTTTAAAAGCAGAAAAATGTTAACATTAAATTCTTTCCAATGTTCAAACAAAAATCAACTTGTATAATCTCTGTAGTAAAATGTGTCCTCGGTACAGGTCTTGGGGACTTGGAAAATGTTAAAATTTCTGTAATTTGAGTGATAGAGGCAGCACATAAAGACTTCATGAATCTTTTTTCCCAAAAAGAATACTTTCAGTAAAACACTTTACTATTTTATGATTATGCATTGGTATTTTTGTTCTTCCCAAAAAAGTGAATTTACATTAATACTGTAATTTTCCATGTAAAAATATACACATACAGATATTTCACATACAGATACTTAACTTCCTGAGTGACCAGTCATACATCAAACATGGTTTAATAAAAAATTTCTGAAATTTTAGAATGAAAGAGCATATGCAGATTTATTTTTTCTTTATTTATTTTTTTTTTGTGTGTGTTTTTTTGGTACTGGGGATTGAACTCAGGTCCTTGCGCTTGCGCAGCAGGTGAAGAAACCACTGAGCTAAATCCCCAGCCCTGTATGCAGATTTATACTTGTACAGGGTAAAGCTACAAAGAGCATCTCACAGAACTTATACTTAAATTCTCTAAATTAACCAAAATGATTTATCCTCTAACAACCAATAACTTCTGAAACTTAAAATGACAAATCACTCAAAAATTATATTTTCTAATTTATTAACAGAATACAGATAGCCATCTGATTAGCCAATAGCTATTAATATGGAATTCCTATTATACACACCAAAACTGGATTCACTTAGCACGGAATTTCTTGCAGAACAAAAATTTAAAATATTTGCTGTATAATACAACCATCTATGAGGTCTGATCAAAGCATGTGGGAATGTTTAGATTTTTAAAAATTTGTTACAGTAAAAGACACAATGCTATTATGGCATTATAGAGATGTGTCTTTTACTATAATTTTTTTTCAAAATCTAAACATTGTATTTTTAAAAATCATGCCTGGTATACAATCCACCCTTCTGAAGCTGTCTAGATGATTAGCAACTGTGGCACTTTCTTTTGTATAAAGCCCTGTCCTCTTCATAAAACCCTGAGGTGAAAGGTTGTTAATGAAATAAGACTGGAACCATAATTCTTCCTATTTCTGTATTAAACTGTAGCTATACATTTTTAAAAAACAAATGTGGCAACTGGATGAGTTTCTCTGTACAATTTTTCAACATATTTTCAGTTCAACTTAGTCGAAAGAGCCTAAAATGGCCCTACAAAACAAAGCCCTTTTAATATTTGCTGGTGTCGAGATGAGCGTCATTTTCCTTCTCCACTGCTGTCGCTTCTGTTATCATAGTCACGGCTCCAGCCAGCACGATTCCTATCTTCACAGAGGAAATCTCTGCTTCCTCTGTAATGGTGGTCAGACCCATGATCCGTGTAAGGCTGTTCTCAGCTATAATGTCTATCTGCTAGGTCGGGATGAGAATTCTGCCTGACTTTACGCTGTGATGGTGTTGTATTCTGGAGCCACTGGGAGCTTGAAGTATGAAGTTAAAAGTATGATCATGTGACTGAACTGATGGTAAAAATCCTGATTGATCCACATGTGGAGAACCAAATTTCCCAACAAATGGCATCCGTCTTCAAACATTGTTCATCACCGCTTGTCTCTGATAATTTCCTGGAGAAGAGAA